CTTAGGCATGATCAAAGATCTAAAGGCAGTGCTCTATGATGCCTTTAAAATCAAAGATTTGGGGGTGTTGGGGTACTTCCTAGGAATCAAAGCAAAACTGGATGACTCAGGCTTAAATATTTGTCAAAGGAAATATGCTCTCGACATCTTAGCTGAGGCAGGTTTTCTGGAATCTAAGCCAGTGAACACTCCAATGGTGCTTGGATATCATCTTAATCACAGTGATGGTGAACCTCTTAATGATGTCAATGGTTATAGAAGACTTGTCGGTCGCTTGTTGTATCTCACAGCCACAAGACCAGATATCACTTATGCGGTGCAGCAATTAAGCCAATTCATCGATACCCCAACTGACAAGCATCTAAGTGCTGCTCATAAAGTACTTAGATACATCAAAAGTGCACCAGGACAAGGATTGTTCTATCCCAGAGATGGCACTCTACAACTCAATGTTTCACAGATTCGGATTGGGCTGCCTGCGTAGAAACGCGTAAGTCTATAACTGGCTATTGTGTATTCCTTGGATCTGCTCTCATCTCTTGGAGATCAAAGAAGCAAGCTACGATTTCTAGATCATCCTCTGAAGCAGAATACCGAGCACTTGCCTCCACCGTTTGTGAAGTACAGTGGATTACATTTCTACTTGAAGATATGCAGTCTACCATGCAAAGGTCAGCAGCTGTTTTCTGTGACAACAAATCAGCTGTAGCAATGGCCGAAAACCATGTCTTTCACGAAAGGACAAAGCACATCGAGATAAACTGTCACCTTGTTCGGGAGAAGGTCTCGAATGGTTTGATCAAACTCCTACCGGTCGCATCAACAAATCAGGTGGCAGATGGATTCACAAAGCCTTTACCCGCCACTCTGTTCAGAAGTTTCATATCTAAGTTGGGCATTCAGGACCTGCATGCGCCACCTTATGCGGGGGGGGGGGGGGGTGTTGGAGAATACTATTGAAATAGCAGCTAGCTAAGGACTTTATAGTCCTTTCCTATCTTCATTCTGTTACAACCGTTCTCTGCATATATATGTGTTCTCTGCATGTATATATTTGAAGTTACCAGCCTCTGGTTTGTACTGAAAACAGAATTGATGAATAAACAAGCTTTTCCCTTCTACCTTTCTCTTCGATACAATTCGCATCAATAATAGGCATATTCCTCTGTTTGGTAACCACTTGTATTCCCAAAAATATTATTCCAGGGAATGACTTATTCCCCTTGCAAGGGGAATAGAGATTCTCGGTGGACCCCCTGGTATTAGGTTATTCCTAAGTTCTCAGGAATAGCCTAAAGTTTCTATTTCTTATTTTACCCCTCAATTAAATTTATTTCCTATTTCACCATCGCCGCCGTCGCTGCCACCGCCACCACCAGCACCACCACCCCAGCACCGCCACATCACCACCAGCACCGCCACCAGCACCACCACCCCAGCACCACCACCACCACCACCACAACCGCCGCCACCAGCACCAGCACCACCACAACCGCCGCCACCACCACCAGCACCACCACCCCACCACCGCTAGCGCCAACGCCACTGCCACCACCACCACCACCACCATCGCCACCATCACATATTTTTATAAGGGTATTTATGTCTTTTAAAATATATTTCATTTCTATTCCTTAAATCAACCAAACACTGTAATATAATTCCTAAAGTATATTCCTTCTACAAACCAAACAATAGAATACAATTCCTATTTTTTTCCTTGCCCATTCCATTCCTTATGGAATAACATTTCTATTACCTCAAAATTCATTCTGTGAACCAAACGTGCTGTTAGTGTTGTGGTTCGGTGTCACCCTCCTACCAATGAAAAATATATATATTATACTGTTAGGCGGAGGGTTGCTGGGGCGAGTCCAACATGCTGACGGCTAAATAAGTATAATGGAATAAAATTTTGATTTCGTTACTAAATATTCCTTTTGGTGTCTTGACAATTAGACGATTAGTATAAGAGCAGGTCACAAGTTTACTACTACCTATAACACCTGATGATAAGAGGCAGGGCCGGATTTTGGGTTGTGCAAGCTAGGCTACCGCACAGGGTCCCAAATTTTAGAGGGACCCCCAAATATTAGAGGCTCAATATTTAATTTTTACCTAACTAGTTTAGAAATAAAAATTAAAAATGTTCAATTAAACTTAAAAGGCTTCATGAAGAAATGGTAGGAATGTGTGTTTATTGTATTTCAATTTGGAGGCCAAAGGTTCAAAACTTGTGTTTATTTACCAGAACAGGGCCACAAAAATCTAAAAATCAGCCCAGCCCTGATCAGAGGGAGATTATTATGCAAGGTTAAATACCTAGCTATAGCTTGTTGAATCTTAGTTACTAAAACATAGACATAAAATAAGATGGGGGAGTAATGGAGTATATATAAATATTTCAATACAAAGAAGAAACTTAAAATTATTCTAAACAAAAAAAAAAAAAAAAAAAAAAAAAAAAAAAAAACCTTTTTAACCCTAAAATAATAAGAAATTTTGCATAATCTTACTATTGCAAATGAAATGCAATGTGTAATTGTCCTTCGCTGCTATACACTCTCATGACTTGCAGAAAACTGAAGCTCTAGTACATGAAATTATGAAGATGATGGATGGGAGTAGGACGAGGAGAGACAATAATAAATGGACTAGACAAGAAGAGTGGTGACCCAGTAGTTCGGTAATATCCATGTGAAAGGAATATTTATATATATGCAACATCTCAGGTCAACCACAAAATCATGAAAATCTTGTGTCTATCTAAGTTTAACCTGGAAAAAGAGGGAAACAAATATATCTTCAAGATCCTGAATTTCGACCACACCACGAGGGTGCCTCTGATCGGACGGGCAGGGGTTTGTGCATGCATCTGAGATTCCATCCACGCCGTCCGTCCGCTGCATGTAAACTCGATCATGCAGGTACGTGGTACTTCTTCATCATGCGTGTCCATTGCTGTCTCCGCTTCTACTGTACTACTCGGATCCTCTTTAATATTCTCCCGTACCTTTTTTAGCATTATATATTGCATGACCCGGCTCGACCTTATTAAATCCGTGACCTAATAATGTCTGTCTTTGGATCCTCCACCCCAATCTCTCATCTAAATATCTATCTACCCATCATAATAGTTGTATATAACATGTGTATAAACTTATTGTTGTACGGAGATCGGTAAAGGTCAAGTCTAGCATTTGATGGTCGGCTTGGAGATTATTAGGTTGATGTCGGGCTAAGTCCAGCACCTAGCGTCTCGTTTCGAAAATGTGATGACTGTTTATAAGGAAATAAAGTTGCACTTTCGCTATTAGTTATAACTTTTGACGTACTGGTAAGCGTTTGATTCTAACAAGTGGTATTAGAGTCAAGTCATTAACATTTAAAACGGGTTGGTGCTGAGAGGGAATTGTTGAGCGGAAGGCTTAATTAGGGCTTAGATTCCATTATTCTTTCTGATAGGGATTCTAATGATTCTCAATATTATGATGCGATGTTTAAATTGTTGGAAGAAAGGGAATCGTTATATGAAGAGATTTTGAAGGTCTTAGTATATATGTCATATGATGATTTTAAGACCATCCACCAGGCAGTCCCCGAGCTATTAGGTTATCATATATATGTGAGAATTGAACTAGTGTGGTTGGATTTTGAACATCTTAGTATGTCGTCATATGATGGTTTTAAGACCATCCACCAGGCAGCCCCGAAGCTATTAAGTTATCATATGTGAAAACTGGTGTGGTTGTTCAATTGGGATTATTTATAAGTATTTTTGACACTATAATAAATATATACTTAAATTCAATTATATATTACATAGAAATTTAAATTTAAGTACATGCAATTAGTTGTACTATTATAATTATATTGGAAGGGAAAGAACCATGTACTGGAAATTGGAATCACTCATAAGCAAACAATGGGCTCTAATTGATTGTGATGAAACTGAATGAATATACAAGTTACAATAAATAATAAGTTTTTATATTAATTCATAGTCATAAGTGACCATTTCTCCATATGCTTTTCAAAACTCAACATTAAAATAAGGGTGTGTTTGGAAACTTGAAAAATGAGTTATGGAAATCATTTTCCAAGTTTCCATTGTTTGGATGTGCCTGGAAAATCAAGTCAACGGAAATCATTTTCCGTTGACTTTGGAAAATAGGCTTGTTTTGGAAGAAAATGACTTCCCCTTTTTTTTGGGGAAAGTCATTTTCCAACTTTTACACCAACATCACACCACCACCAATATCATCAACACCATACCACCACCATCACCACCACTACTGCCGCCGCCACCACCACTATACCATCGCAACCACCGCCACCACCACTACATCATCGCAACCACCGCCACCACACCACCACCAACACCATCAACACCATACCACCACCGCTGCCACCATACCACCGTAACCATCGTCGCCGCTACCACCACCACCATACCACTGCCACCACACCACCACCGCTGCCACCATACCACCGCAACCACCGTCGCCGCCACCACCACCACCATACCACCGTCGCCGCCATACCAACGCAACCACCGCCACCACCACCACTACCACCACTACCGCCGTCACCGCCACCACCACCACCATACCACCATCGCCGCCACCACCACCATACCACCGCCACCACCACCACCATGACCATACCACCGCAACCACCGCCGCCACCACCACCACCGGCAAATTATTGGCTGGACCATGGTCCAGCCAAGTTGGCTGAACCATGGTCCAAAACGACGCCGTCTCTCCATTTAAGGAGAGACGGCGCCGTTAAACAACTTTTAAAAAAAAAATTCTACATCGTCTCTGATAGCTTCTTCAACAGCTTCTTCGCGCATCTCCACCGTCTCCGACGCCACCTCCAGCGCGCGCTACTACAAACCAACGCCACAAGAGCTTTCTTGTACACCGTTGACGCCATCTCCATCTACTGATTAGGTACATTTTCAACTACCTAGGGTTTTACTTGTAGCTGTGTATTTATTCATTCCTGACACTATCTTGGCCTTTGCGTTCGTGGCCCTTTGCGTTCTTGGCCTTAATCTTTGTCCCCAAGTAGCAAGCTGAACCTTCAGCAGCTGCTTTTCTGCTACCAAGAGACTCCCTATGGTTGCCACCATTTATGTTATTATTATAGGTAGTATCAACATCCAGGCGGTTCTCACCAGTCTCATATCTTGACTCGAGAGTTCTTTTATGGCACGGTCTGTGTCCACCAAGAGCCTGATAAGAGCTAAAGATCTTCTTACAGTTCAAACACTCGTACTTCTTCTTCTTCTTAGTCTCAGAAAAACTGAGCTTTATCTTCTTATAGGAATCAGTTTTGTATTCAGGATCATAAGAGCTATCTTTGCTTTTCTTTCTTGAATCATGCTTCCCTGCATTTGAAGCCACTCCAAAATCACGATAATCGTAGTCCTTTGATCCCGATCTTGACTTTTCTCTATTGGAGGCATCCATTTTAGGAGTTTTCATGTCAATAGAAGATGATTTAGTTTCTAGAACCACAGAGTTATTATCAGAAGACTCCATAAATGAACTAACACCATTCCAGTTCCCAAAATCCCTAGACAACATCATCAGACATTTGGCTACTTCCTGTTGATCTTGCTCAAACATCTCAGACCCAGTATTAACAACATGATTAGGCAAAGTAAATGAACAAGTGTGGACAATTTTCTTGTACCTCTTAGGCCTTGCAGAAGATGATTTGTTCCTCAGGTCCTCTGCCTCTGTGCCATTTGCTATACTCTTGCCATAAATTCGCATGCAATATGGTGTTTTTTGAATTTTACATTTTAATGTTGATTTCAGTTTTTTCCGCTTTTTTGCGCTAATTTACGTATATTTTAATGTTTGTGTGTTTTGATTGAATTAGATCTTCTATACAAAGATTACCAGACAGACCACAAGTTCACAATCACTACCTACTCTCCTACCGGAGTTGTGAGTTTTCTTCGTTTTTCTCGGATCCGAGTGCTTATCGTTGTTTTAGCTACGGTTTGGATATAATTGAATTGATAACATAAGTGTTGAGTTTTGAAAAACTGGTAAACATGCTTCTCACTGTGTATTTATTCTGTATACGAGTTAAAGTAAAATGCAGTAGGACTGGAGACATGTTGTGATTTCTGTGTTTAGTGACATTTCTTTTTAAGTCTTCTGGCTCTTGCTGTCTGTTGTACTCATCTTCTTTGCTGTTTAAAGACCCTATAGGCCCAACCCAACCTACAAGAATTGTAGATAAGTAATAGTGTACACAAAGATATGACTTTAACATGGAAAGATGTAAGAGAAAAACCATGAGCTTTTCTGGGCTAAGCCAAGGTGAAGGATTCCGGTATGCTTGTGTATTAATGCATTTACATTATTGAGCTTGTTTGAAAGTCTTGAGCTCCATTACTTATGAAGAGGGTGAAGAGAAAAGAAGAGTTACACCATGGAAGTTGGATCTTAAATAGGGCTAACTTGGGCAGATAAATCATTTGGGCTTTTGGTCTGACTAGGCCTTGATGTGCCAGGGGTATTATCCCCAGCAATCTTTCTATAATGAGCATGATTAATGTAGTTCTTTATGTAGCTACAAGTAAAATTGCTTTGGATTGGCTGGTTTAACTCATAGTTGATGTTTCTTATGTACTCATCTACTTCCATGCACTTGTTTAGAGGGTTTGGATCCATTTTGTGTCCATGAAGAGGTGTATATTTTATATTTAAAATATTTTCATTTGCTCATGTATGTATAATTTGTAGATAATCACTTATATTCTAACCTCTTGTTGCGAAGTGCTTACACACAAATTAATGTTTTCTTCACTTTATTTTCTAGGCTATTACTTCATCTGGATCAAAGAAAGGGGATTTCTTTGTAGCAGATGTCAACACACAGTTGAAGAACAAGAATATCACCACTGATATTAAAGTGGACACGAATTCTAATGTGAGCTCCCCATTTACGCCTGATTCAGTGATGCCTATTGTTTTCTCATGATCTTCTAGTTATCTGTACGTAGCTCAATTGTGTGTACTTGCGTCTAGCTTTTGCATTAGTTGTTGAACTCTAAATAGTGAAGTGTATATTGAGATAGAGAAATACAGTGAATGAATGAGTACAGGGAAACCTACACTTATATACAAGCTAATAGGAAACCCCAACCACTTATTTCAAATTTCAAATGCCTAGCTAGGAGAACTCCTCTAACAACCTTCTAACATTAGTTTTGGGAATTTCTGTTGTACAACATGGTATGCAGTCTAGAAATATTAAGGGTGTTCAAGACTTCAAGCTACTTATCTCAGCTGAAGAGAAAAATCAATACCTTCCTTGGATGTTATCTAGCCATTTTACCTCCTTATTTCCATTGTTAGTAGTTCAGTGTATGATGTCGTAGAAATGTTCATTATTCTTATATTTCCTTTATCCTTTTTAGTTTAGAAATATTCAAATTTTTTTCTTATTTGCTCATAACTTGGGGCAGAATTCTGGGTATTGAATGATCACTGCAACCTGTGTATTATGTGAAGTCTTTCTGTACATCAATAACAAATAGTAGCAAAGATTATGAACCTATAGAGTTATCATGATCTAGATAGCTAATTTGTAGTTCTTGCATGTTAGTATGCTTTCTACTGGTTGGCAGTTGAGACACATTGGAAATTACGTCCTCTAATTGTTTTGTCTTTCCAATTTCAGCTTTTTACAACTATCACAGTTAATGAACCTGTTCCTGGTTTGAAGACCATTTTAAACTTCAGAGTTCCTGATCAAAGATCGGGAAAGGCAAGTAGCTCTTATTTTTTGGTTTTCATCAAGTTTTCCATGACAGGATTGAAGTAACCATACTTGTCTTTATGCTTTTTTGAGTGTTAGTTTCATTTTTATGTTTCTTACTTGCTTCCTTGTCATGACAGCTTGAAATTCAATATTTACATGATTATGCTGGTATAAGCACCAGCGTTGGTTTGACAGCCAATCACATTTGCTATACTCTTGCCATTTGATTACCAACAGACTGTAAGGAAGTTTCTTGATTGCACCCATCTGCATTTGTATTACTGATAGTTTGATAAGGTTATTATTTCTTATATAGGGAGTGCTTTGTATAAATTATGACTTTACCTTTCAAAATTATGGTTGATAAAATGTTATAGATGTATGGCTGCCCTTACGGATATAAGGACTATGAAATAATAAGGAAAATGTGAGTGTAATTTGAAATTCTCAGTAGAACAATTGTATTTTAGGACCTTAAATAGTACTCCGTATCACTATTTAAATTTGCAGATAGAAATTGTATAAATGTATTTGAGCTTCAAAATACATTTTGTTGTCTTTCTATGCAGAATGTTAACTACTTATTGTATGTAAACTGTGCTTAAATCTTCTAAATAGGAAGTCAAATGATCATTTATAACAACATCAGAAATAGACAACCAGAATCTTGATCATAGGGAAATGAAAATGCTATTTAGTCTGTTCATTAGGTACATTATATCTGTTCGTTAGGTACATTATTTTAATACACAGGGTACCCTCTTTTTATGCATGATTTATTTTGTACATTTTGTAGTGAATAGAGCATCGCTGGATTTATTCCCTTAACTAACATTTTACTTGCAGCAACTATGTCTAGCCAAGAAGTAGATTTATCATTAAAAGAGGTTACCAAAACCTATCGGAAAAGGAAAAGATCTACCAGTAATGAAGAAGACGGAAATAAAGAAAAGGCCACTAATAGGACTGTAAAGAAAGAAAAGGCTCCAAAGAAAATTCAGCTCAAGACTAGGATGTCACCAATGGAGTTTAACAAAATGGTAGCAAATCTCAGTGATGAACAAAAAAATGCGATTAAAGAGATTGGGTTTGGATCATTACTCGAGCTTAGATTGTCCAGCATGGACAATACACTAAATACATATTTGGTAGAAAACTATGATGTTTGTAGTTGTTCCCTAATGTTGGAGAGTGCAAAGATGGAGCTTACAGAGGATGATGTGGAGAGCACATTAGGTCTCCCCAAGGGTGAGGTTGAAGTTGTTGAAGGGAACAACTCAAATGCAACTGAAGAATACAAAACCTTGTTGGAGGAATGGAGAACACGCTGGGAATTAGACAATTGTTCTCCATTGGTGAAAAGACTTGGCCATGGTATAGTTGAGAAGAAAGACCACGGGGACATGTTCAAAAGGGATTTTGTGGTGTTTGTTGTTTCTAGTTTGTTCAAGGGCCACGCTAATTGGACATCAAACTTCAAAATTTTGTACTCATTGATAGACGTGAAAAACATCAAGAATTTGAATTGGTGTAGGTACATTTTTAATAGTCTTACTACAACAGTGGAGAAATGGAAGAAGGCAAGAAGTACATTCTTCACTGGACCCTTGGTCTTCTTGATGGTAATACCTTTAATTCAATTTATGTTGCTTATTCTATTAATGCATTTTTGGCTTTCATACTAACTTTTTTTATTTTATTTTATTTAGGTTTCATACCTTGATAGGATGCAATTTAAAGGGCAGCAAATCCCAAGGAAATACCCTGCGATATCAGTTTGGACAATGGATATGGTCCAAAAAAGATTAGCAGATGAAAAGAATTCTGGTGGGTATGGCAGGGGAAAAGTCTTGGATAGAGTTAGGAAATCGGTTGCTGAGATTGAAAACAACATTGTTGGGGATGGGGTGGAGGCACAGGCAGTTGGTGATAAAACTAAAATGAGTGATGTAGAGAAGATATCTATGGGAATGAAGAAATTGACTGCAGCCATAGTTGAATTTGGGGAAGTTATGGCTGAAGTTGGGAGCAAAAACACCGGACAAGAAATTATAAAGAAGACTTTTAGCAAGATGTCTGATATGCTGAACATTGCTTCAACTTCCCAGCCTGACAAGACTTCGACATTATTGGATGATGATCCAATCTTCAGTAGCGAGAGCTTTCTTGCAGCAGTTGCATCATTGGAAAAGGCAGCAATGGAAGCATTGGAAAAGGCCACTACAATCACCGAAGAACCTATTAATCCTGAAACATTTTCACCACCACGCTTCAATTTGTTAACACCTACCCCCCCGGATATTCAAAAACCAAACGAAACAACTACTACACTCCCTGGTGAGGAAAGAAGCACAGAAAAGGAACAAACATTGTTTGACATGTAAGTTAAACTCTAAAAGTTGTGTTTCTGATTAAGATACATTATTTCTGGTCACTATGTACATTATTTTAATGAGTAGGGTACATTATTTTTATGTGGCAGTGCACTTGAGGAATCAGAGAGGGAGAATGTCCAACATGGGGAGAGAGAGAAAAGAAAATTGAAAAATGTTCCATTGCGATTGAGGTCTCCATATTGGACGAAAAACAATGAAAAGCTCTCCTTTGTCTCTGCGAAAGAGAAGATGTTGTCTGATTTTGCATTCATGGAACCGTCTATTCAACATCCAATAGAGTAGGTTTTCACTTTAATTATGTTTAATACTAATGTTTGTCTTTAATATGTGTTAAAAAGTTATTTTTCTTGCAGTGAAACACTGTTTAGGTATAAAAGGTACCACATTGCAAGGGACCAGTTCTTGACTCTACGGGATGGTGAAGTAGAGAAGACCATTATAGATGTTTGGAGCTTAAGAATGAATTATGAAAATATCACTCGTGGAATGGGTGAACCAAAATGCATCTACTTCACCACCAATCCTTTTGTAAGTGCTTGAACTTTCTCTTATATTAAAAAAGAAAATTGATAATGCAAGTTCTTATTGATTATTAGTTTTTCTGCACAAAGTACATTATTCTTGTTCACAGGGTACATTATTTCTGTTCACAGAGTACATTATTTGTGTACATAAAGCTTTGGTGTATATAATACAGAATTTGATGGTGTAATATGTTTACTTAGTAATATAATTTTGTGTTCAGATGGAAATTGATGATGCTACTGAACGGAAAATAGAATTCTCTGCAGAGGAAAAACAAAGACGATTCAATGGATCTTTGGATTATGAGATTAAATTGGCCTCTAACATTGACATCTCTGATGCTGAACTGGTAATTTATCATGCATAATATTATAAATTAATAAATTATGTGAAATTCATTTTATATACACTCATTGGATATACTTCTAAAATCATATGTATTTAGGTTTTCTTCCCTGTTATACGCTATCATCACTACTTCATCATGTGCTTGAACTTCAAGAAAAGGGTTGTCCAAGTAGTTGACAATAGAACACTGGGCAAGAATACCAACTTTCTACAAAGATATGATAATTGTGATCAAAACCTAGTAAGTTGCAAAATCTAAGATTGTTATGAGTTTAAATTGAATACTGCTAGGTACTTGATATATTATAATGAACATTAACTAATGTGCAGGTTAATGCATTCAAAGAGTATTGCAAATTTAAAAGGATCACAACTTTGTTAAACAAAATGACAAAGCATGATGATGAGGATGATGTGTTTAACCATGAATTGGTGAAGATGTCTTGGAAAAATGCCACTAATGTTACTGATTGTGGAGTTTATTGCATGCGTCATATGCAGACCTTTAAGGGTAATGGACCGAATTGGGAATCTGGATTTAACAGAACACCTGCAAATGTAAGTACTGTGATTTAAAGTACATGTTTTTCATTTTTATAAATACCTAATTGGACTCATATAACTGCCATTTTGGTTGAATATACATGCAGGCAATATTCTTGACATCTTTGAGGGCAAAATATGCTGCCGACATATTATTTTTACCAATGAATGAGCACAAACAATCCATACTACAGGCAGCCCGTAATCTTTATAAGTAGACAATGATCATTGTAATTGATGGTTCTAAAATGTTAGATGAATATTGTTGGTTTTTGTGTTAGATGAAATTTTTGTTTGAACAATTCAAAGATGGTGCTGAATTGGGTGCTAGCTAGTGATATCAAGATATGCTGAAATTGTTTATGTGTTAATTGCTTTTTAGGGAGTTGCTTTTAAGTTAATTGCTTTTCATTGTGGAGTTAATTGCTCAATTAGTAGAAGCTATTGTGGAGTTACTCATATGGTGCATTATTCTAACTCACATAGTACATTACCAAAATTCAAGTGACTACAACTGCAATGATACATTTTGTTAACACATAGGGTACATTATTTTAGAGCACAAGGTACATTATTTTAATCCACTGAATACATTACCAAATAAGAAAACATTTTATTAATGCATAAAATCAAAAATATGTTTTTAGAAACTATAAAAAATAACATAAAATTAAAAGTCAAATTTAAAAATTATTAAAATATGTTTTGAAAATATAAAATAATAGTTCGTTTTACCAACGAACCCCTCCCCTAATTTTCCATGGTGGCGTGGACGGGGGTTGGGGTTGAGGAGTATACCACCCGTCATCTCTAAGACTCTAAGTGGTGATCAATTCATGAACATGTGACCTTAACTAAGATACATTTTGATAACTCATAGGGTACATTATTTTAGAGCACAAGGTACATTATTCTAACCCATAGAGTACATTACTCAAAATCAAGACTGCAAGGATACATTTTGTTAACAAATAGGGTACATTATTTTAGAGCACAAGGTACATTATTTTAACCCACTGAACATTACCAAATAAGAAAACATTTTATTAATGCATAAAATCAAAAATATGTTTTTAGAAACTATAAAAAGTAACATAAAATTAAAAGTCAAATTTAAAAATTATTAAAATATGTTTTAAAAATATAAAATAATAGTTCGTTTTACCAACGAACCCCTCCCCTAATTTCCCATGGTGGCGTGGACGGGGTTGGGGTTGATGAGTATACCACACGTCATCTCTAAGACTCTAAGTGGTGATCAATTCATGAACATGTGACCTTAACTAAGATACATTTTGATAACTCATAGGGTACATTATTTTAGAGCACAAGGTACATTATTCTAACCCATAGAGTACATTACTCAAAATCAAGACTGCAAGGATACATTTTGTTAACAAATAGAGTACATTATTTTAGAGCACAAGGTACATTATTTTAACCCACTGAACATTACCAAATAAGAAAACATTTTATTAATGCATAAAATCAAAAATATGTTTGTAGAAACTATAAAAAGTAACATAAAATTAAAAGTCAAATTTAAAAATTATTAAAATATGTTTTAAAAATATAAAATAATAGTTCGTTTTACCAACGAACCCCTCCCCTAATTTCCCATGGTGGCGTGGACGGGGTTGGGGTTGAGGAGTATACCACCCATCATCTCTAAGACTCTAAGTGGTGATCAATTCATGAACATGTGACCTTAACTAAGATACATTTTGATAACTCATATGGTACATTATTTTAGAGCACAATGTACATTATTCTAACCCATAAAGTACATTACTCAAAATCAAGACTGCAAGGATACATTTTGTTAACAAATAGGGTACATTATTTTAGAGCACAAGGTACATTATTATAACCCACTGAATACATTACCAAATCAGAAAAGATTTTATTATTGCATAAAACACAAATGTTCATAATCTGTCAAGTGCAAATATTTCCTTTAAAAACTCACAGAATATAAAACCAATTCATAATCTGTAAATAACTCACACAATATAAAACCAATTCATAATCTGTGAAGTGCATATATAAGTAAACAAAATTTCAGTACAACTCCTAATTATCATTTGAATTGTTTTGAGACTTAGACCTAACACAAATCAATTCTGAACTAGTAGTGTCATTAGGATGAACAAGATACCCACTGCCAACAATATTAGACACAACTTCCTGCATAGAAGATTGGACGGCAGCCTTTGTGTTAGATTCAACTCTTTTTGCATAATTTTTTCGGCCACTTGCTTGATTATACTTTTTTTGTACTGTACTAACTGGCCTTCGATTACGATCGCCTTTCACATCGCTTCGTTCTGGATTTTGTATAGCATTACTTCGCATAGATCTTTCCAAATCATCAAAGCAAATAGGACCAACCTCACCTTCAATCCTTCTTCTTCCATCTTCAATAAGGTTTTCACATACTTGTCGAGCTTTGCAATTGTCTTGACTTGATAGAACTAACCTTTGCCATTTTCTACCCATATCTATAACCCAAATTGGAGAAGCAACTGTCAAAATACTAGAAGAAGATGCAATGTCCATAATCCTGTGTTCAACAACCTTTTTTGTCCACCTTCTACAAATATATTTCTCAGGAATTTTTTCAACACAATGAATGTTCAAAATACGCAAACAATGTGAACAAAGAATACCCATCTCGGAGAAAAACTTGCAAGTACAACATATGTTCATATCCTTAATATTGAAACAAACCTCATGCCGAATAATGTCAATATCCGGCCGCCATATGTGATATTTAAGCTCATCAACATTGCTCGCTACACTCTCTTGGTGACAAGCAGCACCTTTCAAAAATTGTTGCTCAAACAAGTAGTAAGCCTCAATAGTGTATACATTCCTAGCATGTAAAAGAAGTTTTACATGATCCAATGCCATTGTAGGCAACCCTTGAGAACACCGCACATCTTCCCCATTCTCTTTGCTCCTCCACTCAGAAACCACATTAACAAAAGAGTTGTAAAAATCAGACAACCCAGATGTTTTAGATAACCTTTTTGAAATTGAATGATTTGTAGTCTCACTCCGTTGAGAAGATAAGATACCTCCAGAGAAGTAATCTTTATTAAAAGCAGAGCACCACTTCTCCCTAATATCATACAATTTGTTTAACCAAACATTTTTATGGCAATTATAGTTCGTCACCAACCTGAAAATAACAAAACTGAGTGTGACTGCAAAGATACATTTTCAGCATTAATAAGGTACATTATTATAGCCCATAAAGTACATTTTCTAAACACTATAATTTCCAACTTAACATGAAAGGTAAAAATGTATGACATTTCATTTTATTAGTACAAATTACTACATGCTACAAAGGAATCACACATAGAGAACAAGGAAAAGATCTAAGTTTTAAATGCAACTAGAAAAATAAGGAAATTTTTTTTATCAAATTGTTGCTGCTGCAAAGATACATTTACAGCATTCATAAGGTACATTATTATAACCCATAAAGTACATTTTCTAAACACTACAATTTCCAACTTAACATGAAAGGTAAAAATGTGTGACACTTCATTTTATTAGTACAAATTACTACATGCTACAAAGGAATCACACATAGAGAACAAGGAAAAGATCTAAGTTTTAAATGCAACTAGAAAAATAAGGAAATTTTTTTTTATCAAATTGCTGCTGCTGCAAAGATACATTTACAGCATTCATAAGGTACATTATTATAACCCATAAAGTACATTTTCTAAACACTACAATTTCCAACTTAACATGAAAGGTAAAACATCACGTGTTTGATTTTATAAGCACAAAGTAATCTATGTCACAATGCAAGAATGGCAAATCAAATATATAAAATGATAAATTTAATAGCATATGTACCTATTCCAATAAAATTCAAACTCAGCTTCTGTGTCTGTGTACTTCAACAGAAAATTAAATAACTCCATAAAGCCGTTTTGACTCCTTAGACATTTAATATGTTTCTTTGAATTCTCTCCAATATGCCAAATACAAAGTCTGTGCCTTGCACTTGGGAAAACCAGAGAAATTGCAGCAGACATAGCAGCACATTGATCGGTCATGATTGTTTGTGGACACTTACCACCCATAGCTCGCAAAAATGTTTTAAACAACCAAACAAATGAGTCAGTCCTCTCGTTCAATAAAAACCCACACCCAAACATTATATTCATACAGTGGTGATTCATTCCAACAAAGGGACCACAAATCATATCATACTTATTAGTACGATACGTTGTGTCATGCACTACCAAATCACCAAACAACACAAAATCCTCCTTCATTCTTGTATCCCTCCAAAAAAAATTACACAGTCTTGCATCCTCATCTAATTCAAAATCAAAGAAAAAGTCGGGTTCATTCGACTGCCTTTGTCTAAAGATTTCAATTAGTGAATTTGAATCGGTCCCATCTAATCTCTTTATCGAATCTGTATGCAGGCTATTATAAGCATCCCTTGGTGTAAATCCAACCAAAGGTGAACCTCCAGACTGGTGTTTCAAAAATCGAATGCCATCCGACAATGCAACCCCACTCCTTTTCAAGTTTTTTAAATAATCCAATTGGGTATCAACAACACTTCTGTGTGACCGAAGAAGATAGCTGTTAGAAGGTGGACACAACTCATGGTTATGATCCTTTACATGTTTTGTCACAATCAACTGTCCATTAGACGCCAAATCAAACTGACAAAACGCATTACATCCTGTTCGTGTGTCTACCCTTGAATATGACCTTGAATCTTTTTTTTTGTTGTCCTTAAAACCACTCTTTGCACAGTGGAATTTCTTCATTTTAATAGTCTGACTACCGGAAACATAGTACTGCTTGCCCTTCCTAACACTGAATCCCAATCTAAAAGCATAGTCATTATATAGATTAAATGCTTCTTCAATTGAGGTAACTGTAATCCCCAACAACTCTTGAGTAACTGTAAATTTCAAAAAAATAATACAACTAACAAGTTACTAGCATAACACATTAATATTATGTTTAGTGAATATCTGATTTCTAAGTAGAGGGGTGGTGGGGTGTGCCGAATAAATTCAGCCATGCTCTACAAAGAAATAAGATATTCACTAAAAGAAAAAACTCCAATCAATACACAACAGAATGTACAGATAAATCATGCATAAAAATAATGTACCGTGTGGATTAAAATAATGTACCTACTGACCAAGTATAATGTACCCTAATCAGAAGCACAAGTTTCAAATCAGAATGCACACAACAGAATGTACTGATAAATCATGCATAACAATAATGTACCCTGTAGATTAAAATAATGTACCTACTGAACAGAAATAATGTACCTCTAACAGAAATACAATATTCACAACAGAACATGCAAATACTTTATTGTAACACCAAAACAATAATAAAAAACGAATCATTCCATCAATATAATTAAAAAACAACTAATAATAAGTAGATAATAATAAAAAACTTTTTTAAAAAGAACCTGGAATTGAAGAACTCTCATCCATAGCATTAGAAGAACTAGCTTGAACTCCAATTGGTGAACTCTCATCTGTTGCACCCCCCGAAGTGCCATCAACTGTAAATAATTTACATTAAGCATATAAATAATATATCTAATAAACACATTAAGCATGTTCAATAATGTAGTATATTTTGCACAAAAATAATGCACTCTATTAACAAAAACTATGTACCCTGTGAACAAATATTATGTACCCTGTGAATAAAAATTATGTACCCTCACACAACCAACAAAACAAACCTAGGCACAATAGATCAAAGCATTGTGGAAGACAAACCTGGAATTGATTCAACATCAATGGGAGAAATAGGTTCCAGATGAATCAAAGCATTCACATCTTCTACAATATAAAAAATATACAATATTAATCAAAATTCAAAATAAAAACGAACCTAAATTGCATATAAAACAATATACATACTTGTAATATCATCATCTACTTGAATCGCATCAACTCTGTTGTTTGAATCATTTATATTATTCATGATGACGGAGACAATTCTAGGAAGATACAAATTGCAATGAACGAAGCAGTTGCGGCGAATGAAGAAGATTTGCAGTTGCGGCGAATGAAGAAGATTTACAGTCGCAATAGCGGAGGAAATTGCGAATGAACGAAACAAATGATCAAACGGCGTAAAACTAACGTTCTTTTTTTTTTTTTTTATGATAAAACGGCGTAGTTTTGGACCATGGTTCAGCCAAGTTGGCTGGACCATGGTCCATGCAATAACAATTGACCAACACCACCATACCACCGCAAACCACCGTCGCCGCCACTACCACCACCACTACCATACCACCGCAACCACCACCACCAGTTATTATTATTATTATTATTATTATTATTATTATTATTATTATTATATAACAAATAACACCTCTACCACTACACCACCACCACCACCATAATATTTTTTATATATTATTAGTTATTTTTTTATTATATTTAAAATTATTATTATATTATTATATATTATTATACATGTTGTAATATTCTAAATAAAATAATTAAAATGTTTAATTATACAATTCTACTCATTTTCCAGAAAATGAACCAAACACACAAAAATAGTTTTTCAAAATGCAATCAAACACTGGAAAAGAAAAATGTTTTCCAAAAAATGACTCATTTTTCAAAAAACATTTTTCAGAAGTCATTTTCCTATTTTTCAAACAAATCCTAAAATTTAAAAAGTGATGCAGTTCAACGTTTGCAAATTTCAATAAAAACTATTAATAATGGCAACCAGATAAATTTGTACTGAAAGTCTGCTCATACTTATAGTAATGTGTGCAAGTTAAAGCTGAAAGTTAACATGTCATGTCAAACAAAATGGATCCATCTATGATCTATTCGATGAGTGGGAGAGCAGTGAAAACATGGTCTGTATAATGTATGTAACAATTATCAAATCACAGAATTTTTAATTAAATAATAATTGTATACATTTCTTTCACATGGCAGGTGTATGTTCTTCCTTTTTATCATAGTACGCGGAGTAATATTATACTCATTCCCTCCCTAATTGATTGTCTTACTTGCTTTTTACACGATTTTTAATACAACATAACAAATTTTATTAACTTTTTAATTTTATCCCTTAAAAATAAGTGTTATTTGTACAAAGTACAATTGTACTTACCTCTAATTGTAGCGAGCGCGTAAAGTACACGCGCCCAGTTGGCGTGCACGCAGGCTAGTGTGAGTTTTTTTTTTTTTTTTTTTAGGTGAGTTCCACTTTAGAGACAAAAACCATGTACTTCAGGAGGGACCCCAAATCTTCTCTCTTCCTTTTCTCTCTCGATCTTTCACTTTAGCAAAAACCTCCTCAACCTTCTATATATTGTTAAAATAATGAGGGAGAGGAGCTCAGTCATTAATCAAGTAGATAAGAAGTGTACTTAAGAGTTGCTTCTAGGGGTGAAGTGACAATTCGATCACCACCACAAATATTGATAATTTAGATTTAGAATAAACTCCTTGTTCGAAAAAATATAAAGTTTTGTGTTAAGTCTTAAAATTATATTAACTCAATTTACTTTCTTATGAGTTTAAAGAATAAATTTGTTGCGTTTAGGATAAAAGACAAATCCAGGGACAACCAGAACAGTTTCTACCCCCACTCTCTCTCTCTCTCTATATATATATATATATAGAGAGAAATATTCAAATGAGAATCACCTTTTCTCTTTTCTGAGTCTTGTGAGACTCTTTATAAATGCACAAAAGTTACTATACAAATATACACAGACTAAATTCCTGAATTCATTTCTGTTTAGGATATAATTTGATAAAATTGGAAAACCTAAATTATCAACCAAAAAAAAGAGGCATGGCAGAAATGAAATGAAGCTTAGCTTGGGGAAATGGGGTGCCAACTCAAATGAAAGAGTTGTCGCCATCAGACCAGGTCTTATGGACCATGATGTCGTTTATGCATGTTGTCGCAACGTGGCATCTCATCTCCTGAATAAACCAACAGCCACTAGCTAGCTTGCGCAGATCAGATCAGAACCAAAGTAACAGGCACTAGCTACCTAATAAGCTAATTGATCTTCAATTCTCCACTTTTTGTTCTTTTCCGGCCACCACCTAGCTTTGCTCCACCGCCATATCTCCACTGCCGCCGCCATTGCTACCTTCACTTCAATTCCACTTTTCAGCTTTCACTATCGCTTTCTCCTCTCGTCAAAAGCCTATATATGTGCCGTATTCCAACTTATAATTTTCAAGCTTAATGTCTGTCTTTAAAACATAAATATATTTTAATCATATATTTTAGCGTAATTGGTTCGTTGCTCCACTTAAAGATCAAGATTGAAATATTTTTTATGTGCACATAAACAATGGGACGGAGCCAAAAATTCGATTGAGGAGGACGAAGAAGTAGAACGGATTCAGAAATTTTTTCTAGTAAAAACGAAACATTAAAACAAAAGAGATAATTTAAAAATAAATAAATAAATTATCTAAGAATTTTTTTTTTAACCATTACTTAAGAAATATAGTTGTAAATATTGTTAGATACGTCCGAAAAATAAAACACATCTAAACTTTATAAAAATATTCATAATAAAATATGAAACATAATTAATTTGATAAAATAATTTAAATAGAAAACACATTATAAATTACACATATTAAATATTTAAAAAGTGACTGTGTTGAAGCCATAAGGGAAAGACTCAAAAATATGTAAAACTCTATTAATGCAAGGATTTGAACCCAAGGCCTTTCCCAATAACAAACACATGCTCTACCAACAAATCTAACTCCTTACTTGTTAGCATTTACTAATTTGTTATACTAATACTAAAATCTATACTATATATACATATATACATACAGAGAGTATATATGGGGTGGGGTAGGGTGGGGTGGGGTGGGCAGCTGCCCCCCCTTTGGCTCCGTCCCTTCATAAACACTAGGATATTGACAGAGTAATGGTGCCAGCACGCGATCCGGGTTGTCAACAGCACCTGACCCGACACCGCATGGAAAGCTAACAGGCAGAACTCCAACTGACAGAATACCAACAGATGGAAACATTACAATGAGACATTTACTACACCGTCATTGAAGAGAGAGGGGAATGAATGCTCAGCTCCTCATTATGATGTTACAATTAGGGACTTGATATAAGTAGGACATCTCCTCAGTCAGAGAAGACACGTTGAATTCTGTACTGAAACACTTGCAATACAACTATTGTTATTCTCATATTATATTTTCGGTAACATACTTATTGTCAGATATGATCAGCGAACTGATTGTGCAATTCGTAATTTATTTCTTTAACGACTCTAGAGGCAGGGTCCGGTAGATTTAAGATTAGTGTAGCGAAATAATGATCACCTAAGTTTTTTTTTTTTTTAAATAATAATAATAATAATAATAATAATAATAATAATAATAATAATAATGATGGAAAATGACACTTTTTCCATGAGTTATATACATATAGCACTTTCCACCCTAAATTATTCATGTAAGCATATTAGTCCTCTCAATTATTCTAAAAGTGGCAGTTTTCTCCCATTATATATTAAATTGACATTTCTACCCTTAGAGTAAACATTTTATTTATTTTTCTTCTCCAACAAATTATTGGGTATACGTAGGGATGATTACGGTTCAGTTCGAACTGAACCGGACACTATAGCAACCAAATAAAAAGTTTCCGGTTATGATTCAGATCCAGAACCTAATATTTGGATTTCAGTTTATTAAAATTATGAATCAAAAAAACTGGATCTTAAACCGTGAACCAGCAGTTCCAGATCCGGTTCGCGATTTTGAACCGTCTTTATTTTAAAATTTTATTTTTTATTTTAAAATAGTCTAAATTCAACAATAAATGTACTTTTTTTTTTCAGTTCGGAACATGAACTGACCGTTTCGGTTGGCGATTTTAAGAAACTCTAAATATCGAGTTTCGATCATAAATTGTAATTGGAATATTTCGGTTTGGTTGCTATAATGTCTGTTTGGTTTGAACCAAATTGTGGTCATAATTTGTGGAAGAAGAAAAATAAATGAAATATTTATTTTAAAGGTAAATATGTCCATTTTCCTTCTTCTTCTTATTATTATTATTATTATTATTATTATTATTATTATTATTATTATTATTATTATGTTAGTTAACAGATCCATATAGTTTTAATTATAAAACTATATATATTTATTAATTTATATTATAATAGACATCTTCTGTTTTCAAAAAAACAAAAACAAGGGCTAGACAGGGAATACGTAATAGTGTAAATAATGAAATGTTTATCTAATCATAATTTACCTTATTTATCTATATATCTCAATTGAGCTTACTTGAATTAATTCTCAAAGCATTTGTTTAATTAGTTCCATGTTAGTGTTTTTAAATGTTCAAAAACCCCATATTATAATTGGCAATATTATTATGACATACTAAGATAGGTTTAGAGTTTGTTCGTCCAGCTCTACAGATGACTGATCAATCAGAAGCAACAATAGAAGGACGGACACTGAAGATCTGATTTAGGAAGCTGATTTCTAAAAAACTGTACGCGGTATTATCAGACAAGTTTGGAAAGAAGATCAGCGTATTTTTTTAAGAAAGGTATGGACCTAATCTTCTGAGATTACATTCCTCTTTTATAGTGCTACCTTCTACAATCAAAGTGATCTATGGAGAGTGTTTATTGAAGAATCTATAAGTACCCTTATTCGAAGAGAATTAGGGTTACGCCGAAAGTAAGAAGAAACACTCCCTATCTGCTATATGAGACTAGATCTTTGATTGTCATGTATCTTCTCAATACAATATGTTCATGGTGATTAAGATGATGAACTTGAGAAGAATCACTGTTGCTTAAACGAAAGGGCACTGTGATAACACTGTTGTGGGAACAACCTTAAAGTGGACTATGTAGTCTAATGGTATCCGGGTTGGACTTCCATTTGGAAGATTGTGAGTTCGAGCCTCAGTCGAGGCGTTAT